AAATTGAAATTAGATTGATAATGCTTATGGCAAATTGTTTTTAATAAAAATATGTGTAATTTTTTCTTATTAAAAAAAAAAAAGGTCCAATTTTGGAGCCGTTCATTGAATGCATTACAAGACCAATATACACTTGCTCAATTATATTCTCAAGGATTTTTGACATTACCATCAGATAATACGAGTGATCAATTATGGGAATGCTTCAAAAATGTGTATAATACAAACAAAAAAGGACAAGATGGACATACTCGAATTCTATCAATAATTGCAAAAGAGTTTATCTATGCTGAGTTGGAAAAAAAACTTGGTGTTAGTATACATTATTTTAAAATAAAACATACAAAAAAAAAAATAAAAAATAAAATAAATATATTATGCCAGATTTCTTCAAAGACTGTATCTAGTGCCCGATTATATGCTACCACTAATGGTCCTGGTTGCCCTGCACTATGCAAGCCAACAATTACTAGAGTACGCTTATCAGAAGAATTGCTGAATCAACTTATGACATTTTTACTTGACAAAAATGTTGCAACACCAAGTTCCTATAAAGTTGATGCAGCAACTGGCTTGCCCGTAATGTATTTAAAAGATACTAAAGAATCATTATAGCACCAATTTTTTGAATTGCATCCAAATGGAATGAAGCGGACAGCTTTTATGACCCGCTTAGAAAACAGCAGATTCGTTTATCGTGATGATCTTGGTGGACTATGCTTGATCTGTAATGAATATGGATTTGGTGTTTTTAAAGATATGATTACACTAGTTCGTGAAAAAATTGAGCAAAAAAATACTCAGGTTCGCTATAATAATTTATAAAAAAATATAATTAATGTTAATTTTAAATTTGAATCTAAATATTGTAATTAGAATGAATTAATAGCTCAACTAGAAGTAACTCAACGTCATTTGAAACAAGAATATGAAAAAGAATTGACGATAAATACGTTGGGGCATGTTCAACATGATGATTATAATGAACATTGTTTAAAATTTGCATTTGGAAATTGTAACGAAGAACATTCGAAACATTGCGATAAATGTAACAAAGTTGTTTTAATTTTTTAGCAAATTCTACAAATCCTTCCTAATGAAAAAGAAAAAATAATTGAGAATCGTGCCAAATTACAATATTACTGGGCTCACCAAGCTAGAAAAACTTATCTTAATGCACAGTTTAATGCAGCATTACTCCGTTTAGATGAAAATAGTGCTGTTATCATAGCTGACTATAAAATGAAAATTTTACCCCAGTCAGCACGAGAAGTAAAATCGGATTTTTTTGGAAAAAAAGGATATACATTACATACATTACTGGTATATACAAAAAAAACTAATGATTCTACCTTATTAAATGTTGAAGTTTTGGACCATTGGTCAGCTGATCCAATATAAGACACGTGGTTTACTGCATCTTCTTTTGATGCCTTGTTTTCTACAATGGAAAAAAAACCTTCCTGGATAGAAATTCTTTCGGATAATGGCCCACACTATCATAACAAAGAACTAATAATAATAATTAGTCAATGGTTCAAATGGTACGATATAGAAGTAAAATCATAGATTTTTTTAGAACCTGGTGAAGCAAAAACTACAGTGGATTCCCATCATGCACAGGTAATATTTAGTTACAGAAATTATTAGAAAAGTAATTACTACGATATATGATCCCATAGGATCACTTAGCAATTATTTCTCTAAAAAAATAATTTGCTATCGGTTACTTATAATGACTAAAGCACTAAAATAACTTATACGTTTTAGTTTGATTGTTATTTATTAGATAAAGTTATTTGAGAGAGATATAATTACTACAAAATAATAAGCTTGATTATAGTAAATGCTAAGTTATTCACTATTTTTATAAACTATCTATTCAATAAATTTAAAATGATTAGATTGCACACTCCATAAAATGCTATGTTCATCTTGGATATAATATTCAAAATGGAAATGATATAGTAGATGCAATCAGGGATATAAAAAGAACATCTGTTGCAAATATTAACCCTAGTGAACGACCAAAAAAAGCAAAAAAAATAATATCTACCTTGGAAGGCATTACAAATTGGTCGCATTTTGTTTGGCCAACAAGCAGTGAATTATCTGGTTATATCTGCGCACGCTCTTTACCTAATTTCGGTTCTTGGAATACCTTTTCCCCTATTGATATTAAAAAAACTACGAACGATCAAGAGTTTACAAAACCAAGTCCAAAGATTTCAGAT